TTAGCTCAACAGATACGCTTCCTGGCGGAGGTACATGCGCCCCTGTCTGCAACCATTTTATAGATTACTCGCCGTGATGAGAAAGCTAGGCAGGAAATCCGCACCCTGCTCAGACCAAAGCGAGGTCTACATCGTCGCCAAGTTCTTCGTCAAAGTGCTCTCGGACCCTCGAAGCTTCCACTCAGTGGACCCCATCCGAAGATCAGAAAATGGCTTTGCAGGTACATTATTATTATTTTCCGACGCTTTTACTCGAGCCATGGGTGGTATACTCGTACTCTGTGAAAAAAGCTTATCACAAGATGAACAGCATACTATCTGGTTCCACAAGCAGTTCGCTGATACCATCACCAAACCCTAAAACCTGATATCCAAGGACCTACGAGTGAAGACGGAAATTCCGTCATGGAATGGCGTTATAACCGAGCTACTGGCGGTCTGTGTAGCCCAGCAGGAGTCATGGTAGACTTTCGGACTGCAAAGTCTCTATAAACGTGGACTATCAAGCCGTCACCGCTATCTTCAGGAGGATGTCTTCGAGGAATCGGACATCGGCGACATTACTACGTTCCATCGTCTACAGTCTCGCGAAACTGAGCCAATTTGACGGATTTATTCAGCTGCGATTTCAATCTGGAAACGTCGATGCCACTGGGATTGTGCCAGAGAGCATCGTCGGCGAACGTTACCTGCCTTTCAGGGAAGGCTCCTTCTTACTGCAGTTCTATGACGCGGGAGACTCCTTCCTGCAGATTATCACCATGTCTGCTCGGCGCGAGAAAGCCGTCAGTTCCCTCGCCAAAGCACACGCCCGCAAAAACAACCAGAGTAAGGTAAGCGATTTGATCCACTCCGCCCTAGATACAAGTACGGGGCGCACCCATGGCTCGGGTGAGAGACTGTTCCGAGACGTCATCCTGAGAAGGTGAGACCTTCGCTGTCCAGACGAGCTCTCCTCATATGTTCTGGGGAGTATTGTTATTTAATCGATACTGGATGTACTCAATCAATTCTGAGTAAAGATGTGTACATGTCAGGTAAACCAGTAATGGCTCCTTTGAGTCTCGGTCTGCCCAAGGCCTTCAAGATACTATTTGTTGTGACAATTCTGTCGGTACTGTTCCTCAAGCTTAGTACCTTTTGAGCTGTACTAGGCTAGTAGTGCTAATAGTTAATCATAAGTTAAGTTAAGTCAGGTTAAGTCTCAAGTAATTATCATTTCCCTATGATTAATGATCTCGCGTTAACCCAGGAGACTGGACGTAGCCCTGGCATGGCTCCGATGCGGGGACATACTACATCTACATCTCGTGAGGTTTTGTCTGCTGTGGGCAACGTCTTTCGTAAATGGTTAACTCAAACGCCAAATTATGATAAGTGTCTCCAAGATGCTCAAGCTGAGATGGATGCCATATCTGGTGCTGGTCCAGAGGTTATTGGGGAGGCTTTGAATAAAGAGTTCATGTCTGATGATGAGTATGAGTCTCAAGTCATCGCGTTGATTCGAGTCTTCTTTCAATGGGCTAAGTTAAAAGATCGCCGTGAACGGTCTCCTTTGCGACGGCAGTTGCTTGGTTCATATTGAAACGTCCTCCAGCGTCTCGCTTTGAGCCGTCAATAAACAGTGGGAAGCACGGAACAAAGTGAATCGCTGACCTCCTTTCCCGAATAACCTGTGGCCCGTACGCCACGATCGGGAAAGGATCAGACGTTAGCTCTGACCAACCCCCAAACCCGCGGCCCGTACGCCGTAGATTGGGTGAGGGTCAGGCTTGTTAGCCGGCCCGATCAAGGTGATTTCATCGGTGAGCAACCTATCCAGACCCTAGGGCGGGAGGTGGGAAAAGAAATCTATGGACCGAACGGTCCCATATTTCCAACGAGGCTTCGAACAAAATCGATCACGCTACGTGAAGAGCGAGCGCCCTGACCGGGCGTACCCGGCTCAAATCCACTTGGAGGCATTTCACCGCGGTGGAAACCAAGTTGCCCTTGGTTTTCACCTAGCATGAAACGTCCTCCAGCGTCTCGCTTTGAGCCGTCAATAAACAGTGGGAAGCACGGAACAAAGTGAATCGCTGACCTCCTTTCCCGAATAACCTGTGGCCCGTACGCCACGATCGGGAAAGGATCAGACGTTAGCTCTGACCAACCCCCAAACCCGCGGCCCGTACGCCGTAGATTGGGTGAGGGTCAGGCTTGTTAGCCGGCCCGATCAAGGTGATTTCATCGGTGAGCAACCTATCCAGACCCCCAATGAATCCTTGATAGGTGTGAACCGACGAAATTCCGGCAGCAAACGAGGTCGCATTATCGGTGAGCGACCTATCCGGACCCCAATGAACCCCAGATAGGAGCGCCCCGATAAGAACTTCTGCGCTTCCCAAAAGACTTCAACTCAACATAATGCATAGAACGCTAATCGGAAAAAAACAAGAAACATTTGTGATTCAGCTGTCATCTTCGCATTCAGATTCAGATTCTTCGATGAAAGGAACTATCAAGTCGCAAGCAATCTGTTGCACTTCGCTAGCGTCGACGTAGACTCGCGCCGGAACACTACTTCCATGTCTCCATGAGCCCATCTCGCATATTCTCTCATATGATGATCCTGAGATCGCCAATGCGTGTGCATGGCCGCGGCGGAGAGCGTGTGTACCATAAGTATTCGCATCCTCAACACCAACCTCGTTCAGCGTTTCGCGCAACAGACGCAAAAACTTTCTGTACTTCAACTTTTGAAACAATGGTTCAGAATTATCCTTGGACATCCTTAGGAGAAGTTTTGCCGCCTCAACTGGGCACACCAGAGAATTCCTTTGACAGGAACACGAACGTTTCAACGTCTCGCCTCCGGGCGCGTTCTTGCGTTTGCTCAATCGTATCTCGGCGATGTCGCCTCGAATTGAATTCGACGAATTCGTATATCGGACCTCTTCAATCTCAGAAGTTCAGAAGGAACTCGTAAAAGAAATGCATAGGCGATGATAGATCCTAGCACCAGCAATTTTCTCTTACAACTAAGGCCCTTTACGACGAGTTCGTGGAGCAGGGCCGGACCGATACGCGGACGCACTGGCGGAGGGTTGTCCAGGAATCGTCGGAGGCCAGCGGTCGACTCCTGAATCAGCGTCGTATCCCAGTTCTGGTCCAGGTCTAGCCATGTATGCCACTTGCGGAGGTGGGAAAGATAACTCCTCGCTGTATCCGCGTTCCTGAACCCGGATATCCACCATAATACCCATCTCTCGGTCGCTGGTAACAGTGGCACTTGGCGCCCATTCGTTAGAACCAGCTTCAAGGCTGCCCCGAAACGCATGTATGAACGGAAGCCAGAGACGTACTGCTTGAAAGATGAAGCGGATATCGAGCGAAACTTCAACGAGATCACGAACTCGAACCAGATCCGGTTAGAAGAAGTCGGTCTTAACGAGTCTTGCAATAGCAAGCCTGGTAACCGGCTGGGAGTCGGCCGACTTCCGCATGACTCCAAAGGATCTATAGTATTATAGATAATCGATTTAACCGCAGAGATGAGGGACTCGTAGATTTGATGCAGATGACTTGAACGTCCTATTCGTAAGTCTTCAAGGATATCGAGTATAGCCGACCGACATGACCTGGAGGGAATGCGTCGGACCAAGGTTCCGTCCACATCATCAAGCAGCTCCCGCCACTCAGTCAGACCAGCTTTTAAGAAAGAGATACAAAATGTCACGAAAGTACTGAGGGGTAGGCCGTACGTGCCGTTGCGCACACGGATCGGCGGCATCACGGGGAGAGCCAAGCTGAACAATGAGCAGGGAACGAATCTCTTTCCCAACGTAAGCTGACGGAATCGGAAACACTCTTGGTTCAAAGAAAAATTTTTAGTGCGACGATGAGCGTCAATAGAAACTAGATTGCAGGAAGTACTGGCCGCTTACGACTGAAGGAGGCAGTAAGACAATCAAAGTGGCGGCGGCTTGGAGCATCAGCCGGATTGGACTTTGATGCCACTCTAGCCACCCACACCTTGAGCTGAAGCCGAGCAACATTCGCCCAAAAAAAGAAAATCATCTTGTTCATCAGAGGACAGGAGGAAGATCCCTTGATCAGGGCATACTCTACCGCCGTATTGTCGACGAAGATAGTCAACCATCTACCAACTATATACTGACCGAAAGATTGTAGTGCGGCAAGAACGGCGTATAACTCGAGTATGTTGATATCGTCTTTTCCTTCGAAGAGACCCTGTTGTAAGACGGAGGAGAGAACGGATGAGAAGTACACTGGCTTTTTAAAGTCATTGGCCACCAAAACAGCACCGATTCCTCCATTGCCGCACGCGTCTGTATAAAGGACCGCACTGATAGCCTCATCCGAGCTAGGGAAAAGAAGCGGCACCTTCCTCGCTGAATTGGAGCTTGCCAAAAGAGCCGAGAGATTGACAAGAGCATTTCTCACCTCGAGCCATAAGCGATCACGGGCTCTCCACGACCAATGATTGACGAACTTATGAAGGACTCTGAGGTAGGACCTTGGGGCAGAAGTCTCCAAGGCCCCGCTAGCAAACGTCAACTTCCCTATCAACTTATGAGCCGTTGTAGATGGCAAGCGGTCATCCTGCAACACTCCATCGATCGAAGAAATTAGTTGGGCGCGCTTATCATCTGGAACCGACAGAACAATGTAATCACCATCGATAGCTATGTCGAGCCCCAATACTGGGATCTCGGTGGAAGGTGGTACAGCCTTCTTCTCGTTTAAACGGAAGCCTATCACCTTGTGAAGCCACACCCATGCCTCATATGCGGAGTTGGCCGTAGCCGAAGATTCTACGCCAAAGTAATCGTCCAAATAATTGATCACTGGGATAGCGAGGACGACTCGACCGAGGTGAGCCAAGGCCTGACTTACTCTACAATAATTGATCACCGAGCTGGAGGCCCCGAAGGGTTGTGCCACGTGATAGAATCCTGAGACCGCACCCGACTCAGGGTCTTTGAGCAGAATGACGGTGAACTTACGAGACTGAACCGAACACGGAACCTGCCGATACGCGGAGGCGTGATCGGATTTCCACCATTTAACGTCCTTGGTCGATAATGTCGAGCAGTACAAGCGGGCAGTAGCTACCGCGGCCTCGGGTGTCGGGAGAGATACTTTATTATGGAAGGACATGGTCTTGTTTACTCCAGACCTTTTAAAATCATCGCAAGGCCGTACTTTCGTGCCTTGATCTACCCCGAAGCGACGAGAGGCAACGAAAGAACCTCCAAAGATAGATTCTAGCTGTGAGAGACTGAAGGGGCCCATCATCGTGTTCTCAGCAACCTCCTCAAGAGCCTTCTTTCACAGCAGACCATCATATGGACATGGCTCTCTACTTACACTGTCAGCCAAGTCATATGCCTTCTCTACGCCTCCACTGAGAAGCTCAGTGGCAGACATGACGGTCACTTTCTTAGACTTCTTAGAGTTAACCTTTGGCTTGATCGGTCTAGCCCGAAAGACGTCATTGTGAACATTGAACTCGCCTGTTAACTCCAGGCCTCCGGCTAGCTCCCTAGGTAGTGTATAGTCGGGATAGTTGGAAGCCTTCAGCATACGTTCGAACAGACCCAGGTTCAAGGGAGCTGTCAGAGCTCCGACTATGTCATCCGAGGGCTCGAATTTAGATGACAAACGGGCTTGGTCGTTCCAGTATTCCATAACCCTATGCCTGTCACGAATCAAACCCTCTGGACCACACTCGAGTAAGCGTTTGTGACAGGACACACTGGCGACTATCGACGCCGGGAGCCCGGGGGCTTGAGTAAGGGGGTGCTGGCAAGACAGCGAGGCAGCGATATGCTCAGGCGGACTCAGCTCTTTCAAAGCATCTTGCATACCTTCGTCTCGGAGGGCTCGCGGCTGAACGCCAGAGCCTATCTTCGAGACCTTCGGTACGAAGTAGAGAGACTTATTGGAGCCCTGATCGTCGGAGGTTTGGAGACGAATCAGGTCTTGCAGTGCCAGGCACGCCACCGAGTCTATCTCCGTTCCCACGGCCACCGTTTCCTGATCACAGCTTGATGCGGTGGATGTTTTCGCAGGAAGATGACACCCTTCGTGCGACGCCGGCTTCTCTTGTAGCGAACGAATCGTGACGGTCACGTCCGTGGATGAACACTGAATAACACAACATTAACTCGGGTGGTCAGGCGAAACGATGACATGACCATAAAAGAGGGAGTGAGGGAAAAAGAAAAAGGGGCTCAGCTTACATCGCCAGATTTGGCCTTCTTAGAGCCACTAGCCGACGAGCCTTGAACCTTGACCCATTTGCCATCAACCTTTTTCCAAAGCTCCTCGCCCTCATCGTTGAAGAGTCTCTTCTTCCCAGCGTAACGGTAAGGTCCACCTCTAGAGTTATGATAGGACGATTTATTGTTATAAGACGACTTGTTGTGGTTATCAGCGGTCTTACCGATAAGTAGTATCAGCCGATTAGAATCGAGGCGGGACAAGCTAGAACAAGCTTCCTTTACCGAAAGTGAGCTCATGGCCATAGCACACCCGGCATCCTTACGCATCTGCTCGTCGTACTGTATAGCGACCACAGTACCAGCATTCCTCCCGGTCAAGAGCGATTTGAAGCCAGCAGCACTGATGCAATGCATAACGTGGCTATACACGTCGCCGAAGGCTGCACCCTGTAGCAGAGCTACCCACAACCACGACATAAGTGCCTGGATGAAGCCCCCAAAAGACCTGTCGTCACCAACGGCGGCGAAGAACCATATGTCCTTGTTGAAAAGAGCGGAAGGGTCCTTGTCCACCTCGGCGAGAGCACATTGACGAATGAGCGATCGATCCATAGAATCCATGTCAACTTTCTCAAGGCGCTTGCGAAGGGTAGGCCAGTGCCATTTATCACCCGACGAGGACTTGTCACTCGCCGCTTTATTGATGAGCTTCACTAAGCCCGTACCAATGGCCTTCATGAAGAGCTTCTCTGAAGCAGACTCGGTACGAGAAGGCCGATTGGGATCGATGGCATCACCGGAGACAACACCCTCGTCGACAATCTCGTCATCATCATCGTTCTCGTTATTGTCCTCGTTATTGCCACTGACGTTCTCATTGCTTTCGTCGTTACTTTCGTTGTCCTCAATGTCGTCATCGGATCTCATATCGTCGAACTGCCTCTCGAGAAGACTCTTTCTCTGCGACCCATCTGAGATGAGTTGTCAAGAACGAGTTCGGCACATGGATGGGTTTACCGTCTGGATGACAGGGGAGGTTAGGAGCTTTCTCCCCGCCGGTCTTATGTCCGGTCTCCGCCGAGCCTTCGGAGGGCTTCTCTTTACGCACCTTAAAGGAGCGAGACGATGAGCGCGTCTAAAGGGAACAACTTCAACGACGAAGTCAGAACGAAAGGGGGGCATTACCTGACGAGGCTTAGTGAGTTCGGCTGCACCCGCCGCTTCCTGAGATGGTTCACCAGAGACCGAAGGGGCCTCGCCGGACTGATCAGCAACTGCAGCGCCCTCGGAGGGCTTGCCGGGAGCACCAGTATCTCCTGAGGCCTCACTAGAAACTAGACCTTCCTTGAGCGACCTGCCAGACTTTGTAGGTGGCGACATAGAGGTTTGATGAAACCTGAAAACCCGAGAGGGACGATGACCAACTCAACCCAAGCTTGCAAAGCAAGAGAGGGAAGGAACTCGAAAGTCCCACAGTTGAGAGGCCCAAGGGCCGCGAATGTATGAATGAGAGAGCCCGAAGGCTGAGAGTATAAGTGACCCGAAGGTCAGGAAAAAGAGGACTCGAGAGTCCAACAAGTGAGGGCCCGAAGGCCTGAGCATGCAGGCTCGAAAGCCAAGATCAAAGAGGGGACTCGAGATCCACGTAAGAGAAGGAGTGGGAGGGGTCCTCCCTAAGGGGGCAAAGCCCATCAAGCCTGCTTCACTTGAGCTTCGAGGACGTAACCAAACGGGGGATCCTGACGAATACCATAGAGAAGAAGAGAAAAAGAAATCTATGGACCGAACGGTCCCATATTTCCAACGAGGCTTCGAACAAAATCGATCACGCTACGTGAAGAGCGAGCGCCCTGACCGGGCGTACCCGGCTCAAATCCACTTGGAGGCATTTCACCGCGGTGGAAACCAAGTTGCCCTTGGTTTTCACCTAGCAGTTTTCCCTTGGTGTACCAATCCCTTTATCTGCAGAGACCATGGTTCTACTCTACAAGCTCGCCTGGATAATGCTAATTATGCTATGTTCGCGACGGCCATTCCTCCAAAGGAGGCGACGGTTCGCCATGATGGTGGTAGTAGTTGCCAGGATAAACAGTTTAATATTACCGGTCCTCAGATTGCTTCTCCTGCGTGGGCTCCTTTGGAAGATAGTACTATTTCACTCGGGCTCAGTAATGGAGATGCGTCTTCTTTTGTGTCTCGCAAGGATATCACTGAAGCTCGCAAGTTGGCGTCCACGTTACCCAATCTTCCGTTTCTTGGTACTGCTGATAAACTACCCTTTCCTACGTGGCGTCGTCGGTTTAACCTGCAGTGCAGACGGTATGGCTTGGTAGGAGATTCAGTGGCTAGTTTTTATGCTCTGGTATGTAATGTTTCACCATCTCTTATCCTGTCAATCAATCCTACACCTCCTGGTGTTGGTTCGTTACAAGGATGGGTTAATGAAGTGAGGAGAATATACTCTAAGCTAGCTGCTACTTGCAGTGGTATCAGTGATGATGTCGCGAAGCTTACTGCCAATCAATCTTTCGCTGCATTACGACAAGCGAAAAATGAGACGATTGCCTCTTTTTCTGCTCGGTTCTTGGATGCCGCTGCTGATCTTACTGCTTTTACTGGTACTGATGTTCCAGATGACAAGTTGTGAACCACTATGCTGAGAGCATTGACTCCATCGTGGCGTTCCCTGGCTATGTATTTGCTACCTAGGTGCTCTTCCTTTCCTGTATTAGTTCAGGAATTGACTCAGCGAGAACGCCTTGAGCAAGCTGTTACTGGTGCTAGTGTAACGGATGCACCGGTGTCATCGAAGGTGCATTTGGTCGATAGTGTTGATTCACAATCGTCTGTGGAAGCTGACACGACTAACAATCATGCTGTTGATGATAGTAGCCCTGAAGTTTCATTACAGTCCAGCGGTCGAAAAGGGTATCAGAAAAGTAAGAAGATTTGCTATCAGTATCAGAAGAATGGTAGCTGTAAATATGGTGATCGGTGCCGGTTCGTACATTCTAAAAAGTCTCACACTAATACAGGCCAAGTGTCGGTTGATAATGGTACCAGGAATCAAGATTCTCGCTCATTCACTCAAGGGTTATTATGTGTGAGTGATAAGGTTGGTCTCCCGGGTCCAGTTCTCCGATTACATGAGGTGTCGGATGATGGTCGAGACCTTTCGTTGTGTGTGTTACTGAATACTGGTGCCTATTTTAACTATGTTCGAGTGGATCAGGCAAAACTTCTTGAACTTGCGATTGAGCCAAGTAGCGGTGCTAGGGTTCAACCTGCTGATAAGTCAGTGGTACCGGTTTGTGGTCAAGTGAAGTTTGCTGGGTTTTTTTCCGAGTCCTTCCTGTTACTGACACCGTACCGTCAACACAGTCTTCTTCGTTGAGTACTCTCTTCGGAGAGCCTTATGGCATCATCGGTGTGCATTCTCTTTGTCAGAGTGGTGTCAGGTTAGAGTTTTTCCAAAATGATAACTCTAGGGGGGTTCACGTCTCTGTGCAAGCGCATAACGGAGTCTCTCAACCGTCTGTGACCAACGTCAGTGGTGGCGAGAAGGAGATTCCTGAATCCCCGAAAATGGATCATGTTGGCAGTATCCTTGCTTGGTTCCAGTTATCTGATACTGTGGATACTACTTTGCACGATGACAGTTGGGGCTCAATACCATGGACTCCTAAGACTTTAGAGTCCTCGGAGGTTGAGGAGACACCGTGGCATTTTATGCGGGATGCTCCTGGTTTTCGATGGCAAATCCGGAAATTAGAGCCCTCGGATGTGGCTGACACTCCTAATCAGATGTATAAGTTCGTGATTGAGCTCGCCAGGTCCAGTGGCTCTACTGATAGTGTCTATGACTATACGAAGCCTTTGTTCGCTAATCTCTCTCATTCCGAGTTGGAGGCCTACAATACTGAGATCGCAAGGTATCTTCAGCGGTCGTGGTGGCCCCCTTCGGCACTTACTCGGAAGGACCAGAAGAGTGGTGGTGGTATGAGCTCTGGCCTTTTGGTATTTCCTCTGCCCTCACCGGGCCGGTCGACCTCGCATCGACCGGTGGTGGATGCCCGTCGGGAGAACCAGTCGCTCCCTAATGCAAGTTATAGTGGCGCTACTTGCTCTCAAATCCTTCAGTCGATAAGACTGAACTGGCGTAGTGGTGAACAGTGTAGGTTGTTGACACTCGATGGGGCTCAGGCGTTTTATCGCCTCCATACTTCCCGACTGTTAACTTTGAAGTCCAATGACCGAGTGTTTTGGTGTTCGAGGTTAGTCTTTGGACTTAATGTGGGTCCATGTGGGCTGTTCATCTGTTTGAGTAATTATCTACCGCAGAAAGCGTTTGCAGCTCTACCATTAGAAGATCAACGTTGCCTACGAGAACATACTCTGGTATATGTGTATCTTGATGATCTCTCAATATTAAGTTGGGGTGATTGTTCAAGGGCTGTTTCGCGTTTTATTGAACAAATAGAACGTGTGGGAGGAAGGAAGGTGATTCTTCCAAGCACTTGGTTATGCTTTGGCAAATTGATGATGGTCAGCTGGTGTTAAGTTGTAGAAAGTCTTCATTCCCTTCGAGTCTGCTAAATGTTACTATTTGGTCTAAGCGTGCGATATTTGCTGCAGCTGGTTGTGCAAGTACTGGTTCGGATCCTCTGTATCAGCATGCGGAAACTAGAGCCTTGGGCGATCTACTTCGAAGGATCGCAGGTAGTAAATCATCAAAGTTGGATGGTCTTTTACCGTTGACTGTGAAAGAGTCTGTAGTGGTAACCAGTTGTCTTAAGCGTTTACAAAATTTGTTGTTGGAACCCTGTGCTCACTCGGTTGCTCGCTCTCCTCCGAATGTACTTGAATGCTGTGCAGATGCTTCTTCGACAGGAGGGGCATGAGTTGTGCATGCTGTCGCCGAAGTTAATCAACGGTCGAGTACAACATCTACAACCACTGGTAGTGAATGGTTGCTGGGATCTAGTGCTTTCCATTGGAAGGTGCACAATTGATGCCAGCTATCATATCAATCGACTAGAGTTATTGTCGCTCTCACAGTTAGTCTTGTGGCTTGTTGACGTTCTTGGTACCTCTTTGCCTTGTTCACTAACCAAGATCGTACTATCATGTGATAGTAAGATAGCGTTGTCATGGGTGCGTAATGGCAAGGCTTCGTCTAGGAGTACTGATAGGGTTGCTGTGAAAAGAATGGTCAACAATATCAACGAACTGCTTTGCTCTCTTGCTGAACTAGGTGTTCAGGTGGTGTATCGTAAGGTTCCTGGCCATTCAAATACTGAAGCTGACCAACTATCTCGATTACTACAAGAGTGGAAGGCTCAAGACGTTGTTTGTATCGGCTCCACAGTTCCTACTGCACAGTCCTCTGCTATTATTCCAACCGAAGATTTTGTCGGTCTTATCGCTTCTGGTGTTGGTTTGAATGGGGGATCATCGTCAATCAATATAGATGATATTGGTGAAGAGGATGAAATAGAGTTAGATGATGTGCAGCTAGACCACATTCATAAAGCTCAACGGTTATCCGCTTCGTTATCTCCTATTGTTGGTGTACTTGAGAAAAACTGTGAGGAGTCTGATGAGTCCGAACACAAGGCCAAGTCGCTGTATCAAGTTGATGGGTATTGTCTTCGTAAAGGCCTGCTCAACAAACTCGAGTACCCCCATGGTGATCCGCTAAGCTCTCCTAGGTTGGTTATTTGTATTCCTACCGATACTAATGATGGTAGTATTATTGCCAATAATTCGGCTATATCATACTGAAAACGGTCATATCTGTCCTAGATATGTGAGGTGGCGTGTATCGAAGCACTATGATATCCCTGGTCTGACTCATCGCACTAACGTGGTTTGTCGCAAGTGCTCTGTGTGTCAAGCATCAGCGATAAAAAGGGTTTTTAGTGAGTATGGAGGACACTTGGATCTTTCGGCTCGTGCTGTCTGGAGACACGTTAGCACTGATCCAGCTGGTCCCTTGCCTATAAGTAAACCTCACCGGTATCAGTATGCTCTCATTGTGATTGATGATTATTCGGAGTTCACCTTTTGGAGAGGGTTAAGAACCGCTACTAGTGCTGAGACTACGAGCTGTTTGGTGAATCTATTCGACGAGACTGGTATTCCCCGGAGACTCCGTTGTGATAATGGTCCTTCGTATAGGAGTCGGCTCTTCCGTAGTCATATGGATAAGCTCGGAGTGGTGGTATCACAAACTAATGGGTTTGCCCCCTGGAGCAACGGGTTGGCTGAACGAGGTGTGTCCAGTTTGAAGTCTTTGTACCGTCGAATGCTGGCTGGTGGCACTAGATCTGATCAGTGGGAATATCTTTTATCTCGTGCTATTCGTAAGTCTAACACTAAGATGCTACCTGGTGGTGTCTCGCCTTTCCAGTTGTTCTATGGTCGAGAATACTTCGAATAAACCGCTGTTAAGCTAGGCGTCGACAATGGTCCGTATCAGGTCGAAGGTTACAAAGTTGATGACGTCGACGTCTATGCTCGTACTCTGGAAGACCGTTCTTATGTACCACGACCCAGGCGCCGTCCGGCTGTCCATAGTATCGTTCAAGTTTACCATGCTGATAAAATTGGGAAGCCTCGGTATGAAGACGCTCGATATAAGCTTTTAGATATAAGCTGGTATGAAGGTATGATGGCTGTGTTGGAGCCTATTAAAGGTGGCGATGAAAGACGAGAGCATTTTCGTAACCTGCGTATATGCTATTGATAGTGAGTATATTAAAATTGCTTTTTTCGATTGCTATGCATCGACAGGGGGGCATGTTGTGACAATTGTGTCGGTACTGTTCCTCAAGCTGAGTACCTTTTGAGCTGTGCTAGGCTAGTAGTGCTAATAGTTAATCATAAGTAAAGTTAAGTCAGGTTAAGTCTCAAGTAATTATCATTTCCCTATGATTAATGATCTCGCGTTAACTTAGGAGACTGGACGTAGCCCTGACACTTATTTATAGTAGTTTCGGAAAACCTTATCAAGCGAAAAAGATTTATAATGTTTTGACCCCGAATATGATTCCATTATCCGAAGCATTGCTTGCAGAAGATATTCCTGTCCGTATTGACGGACATATTCGAATCTCCGGTTTGCTTGGGTTGGATTGGTGTCAAATGAATGGGGGCGTCATGATTCTTTTCAACGATAGTGGGCATCCATATTGGAAGCCACTAAATAATCATCTTCATGTTGATACTAATATAAACTCTTGTGACGTTGTAGCAGTGTCTACTTCGGTCGTGACTCATACTGCTACACGAGATTGTGCAAAAAAAGTCACAAATAGCGAAGATGACAGTTATAACATTACTCAAGATTATATTAATACACAGTTTCTCAATGGATTACGAGTTGATAAACGTATTGATACATATAATAAGGAAACTTGAAACTCCCGGATCCATCTACCCCTTTCATTGGGAAGTAGAATGGCGATGGTTACTCGACGTATAGCTCCACCTAATTATAACCTTCTCACTCACTCGAGTGAAGTTCAACAATTATTTCGGGAGGCAATTAAGCTTTGGAAAGATCAAAATTATATTGAACCAACCTCTTTAGCTTCTTTAAAAGGAACTCATCCCTTATCAACCACACAAGGAGAGCACACCATGTAGACCATGCTGTGATCTACGGTGGCTGAATGAACAAATAGCCAGCTCTCCTAACGAGCTACATGAACAACCAACTGCATCACCAGATCAGATTAAGCACACACACGTACATGTGTTCTTGTCTTGTGTTCTGTGTACTTGTCACATGTGTTTTCTGGAATTGCTATCCGCCGTCGTGGGTATACTATCCAGACCGGAGAGTCAAATGCTACTGGTCATGTGCGACAATTCCGCTGCCGTGAATGCTTTATGCAAGCTGTACGCCAAGTCAGCTGCACTGAATAAGCTGATGCGGGTACTCGCGCTGAGTCGGCCATCCCTAACCACCCCACTAATGAAGGCCATTCACGTGGAAGGTGTGTCTAACGTAGTGGCAGATACGATTTCTCGCGGGGGGTATACAGTAACGAGAAATATGTGGAGCGGCTTCGATGACGTGAAGGAGCTGAGGATCGATAAAATCCTCCAGAGTATCCGTCAGCCGGTAACTGCCAAATGGTTATGAGAATTCGATGGAGGCCGGTGAGTGCGAACCGGATGTGTTTCGTTTCGAATTAACTTAATGGTAGTGTTGATGAGAGTGGAGCCTCATACCTGTTAGGCTAACAGGCCGTAATAGGAAAGGATGTCGTTCGTAATTCCATCGTCCAAGTGTCAAACGGGGCTCTCGAGTTCACTCGGAGCAGGGAACAAGGTCAGGAAGACGACCTCTGAAACGGCGGCCACCCCGGAAGAGTCTTCAATTGCGATTGAGCGGAACTCTGGCCGGAGGGGAACGAGACGTGGTTCGTTCAAACTGGCACGTCAGGTGGCGGCTGAGATAACGGAGAGAGAGGTGTTAAGATTCAAGGATGTCGCCAGATGTGCCAGCACGCAGAGGAAGTATGCGAGTGTGCGATCGGAGTATTTCGAGCGCATCACGATTGCGGGAAAGGAACCAATCCCGTTTCGGGCCGAAACCGCTTGTATATTCATTATAAATTTGGTGAGAGCAAACTATGTCTTTGAGACAGTAGAGCAGTACTGTAGGATCGCGGAACAGCTGGCTAAAGAAGAAAGAGGAGAAACTGTCAGCCCTTCAGGGGAAGGTCAGATCAAACTCTATCTGCGCGCCGCGGATAAGCTCTCCGTCCAGTCCGGAATATTCGAGCAGCGGAGAGCGGCTACTCTCAGTTGCGAGGATGTCCGCGCTGTAGCAAGCATATCCGACGCTTCGGAGCAAGGCGTTGTTACCGGCATACTCGTGGGTATATCTGCCTTGCTGAGAGTACGTGAGCTTCTCGCTTTAACGATAGCGGATGTAGCGCTAGTTTTCCAATCAGCAGAAGCTGCGGGAGCCGAGATATTCATCGCGCGATCGAAGACTGACCAGCTTGGTCAGGGGTGTACGATCGCGATCGGCGGTTGCTGCCGAGTACCGAAGGATCCCGTTTGACCATTACATTGGCTAGTAGAATGGGTAAAGGGAAGGCAGAAGGACAAGAGGTTGATTCCTCTAGACCGTAAGGTATTCACGGATCGAATGACAACAATGATTAGAAGGATACTGAGCGACAGAGTACCGAGTAATAACCGAGTATCCACGCATAGCCTGAGACGTACTGGGGGCCCCAGTCTGGGGCACAACTGCTTCTCGACCAGTGCGTAGACGAAGGAAAAATCGTGGAGATGGGTCGGTGGAAATCGGTGAGATGCCTTCAGGAAAGATACTCGCGAGATGGGACGTACAACCTCGCCATGCAAAGCGATATGACCCGCACTATGTTCGAAGGGTCGGAACCTATATCGGACTTACCAACGGAGCCGTTAATTACTCCCTCGGCACCGGAAAGGCTCGTGGAAGTGTCCGGGAATGCGGAGCGACCAGAGAGTGCATCCAAGGAGAAGAAACGGAGATCCGCGAAAACGCCCACTCGGCGACGCGGGAACAAGGCAGGCTCGCCGGAAGAGGATGGGAGAGGCCTGCGGTCCTAGTGCCCTACTCGGTTGAGTGACCTCGGTGGCACTACGGATCGCTAGGCCTGGGTTCGAAGACTTGACGTTCATGTAGCCTAGTCGGCAGAGTGGTACAGTTCAGATCTACCATCAGCGCCATCCACGCTCGAATCCTGGTATCAATAAGTGATAGCCAGTTCGTCGAGGAACGTCATGTCTCCGATACCCTTCTCCCGATCTCGTGTCAACAGGCGGCTTCACAAACGGTAGTAACAATAGCACACATTAATTCACCAGATCCCAATAGTGTAAGATGGTAAGGATGATAAGGTTGTGGTACGAGAAAGTAAGATACATGAATTCATGCATACAGTTTACGATCACGAAGGTGCATCTGCATTGTACAATCGTTTGCAGTCTTGGACTGATACTAAACATCTCAAGCAACATTGTAAACAGGTTGTTAGCAGCTGTGATGCGTGTCAGAAAGGAAAGACCTTTTCTGGGGATCGTCAGGCTTGGCATGATACTCAGGGTCGTATAAGATGTAGAGTACCTTGGGCAAAGGTTTACAGTGTAAACTTCACACAGATGTAGTGGGCCCATACCACATCAAGAATGGTGAGCCACTTTTGTTTGCTGTGACTATAGTTGACGGAGCAACAGGATATGCCTTAACTCGGAGCTGTAAGCATAGTCCAACCAGTCAAGATGTTGTCGAGCTATTCCGACACTTGACTGAGGTGCATGGAACGTCACCGTTGGTCGTCCACACTGACCATGGATCAATCTTCGTCTCCGAGGAGTTCTCGAAGTACCTAAGGTCCATATTAGCAGTGTAAGAGCGGTCAGCTGTATATGCTAGTTGGTCCAATGGGAAGGTCGAGCGACTGCACAGGGATATCAATGAATATATAAGATGTAGAAGTGATAAACAAACACTCAACCACAAGGAATTCTCTCTCTTGATTAAGGGAACAACCGTCAAACATAATGTTGTGCCTCAACGAGATGGGAAGAGCCCACATGATAAGCTTTTCAGGTTTAAAGCATCAAGTGAACCATATATGCCAATATAGCTCAGAGAAGGGTATCAAGGATTACTATCGGATCCGATGGATCCATCGCAAATGCCAGAGACGTTAGAGAAAGAAACAAGAGTCCTCTGTCGTAAACATATCCAAGGACCAAAGCATCAACCAGTGTGGGAAGAAGGACGCATATTGCGTAGAGTAGCTTCTAATATGTATGAAGTGGCAGTTCCTGATCGAAAAGGGGAGTTGTATGCCCGAGTGGAACATACAAGAAACCTCAAAAGGCTAGCAAACCAAAGCACCATAAATGATGTTCACGATAGCTCTGATGATGAAGCAGTATCACCGGACACTCGAGAAATTCAAGATTTCAGAACATTCCCAACTTGCCCAAGACGATTCGCCTCTCCGCAGACCACTAAATGGGTTTGAATGTAGGCGCTCAGCAAGACTGAAAGCCTTGCAAAAGAAGGAGGGGGGCATGTGATAGTCGTCACAATTGTTGTCCCTTGATTCCTCGATCAGTATTGCTTACCTCCACCAGTATTGCTGTGTGGCGTACCAAGTATCACAGAGGTCCCCCTCGGACATGTGACAAATCTTGCAGAAATAACCGGAGGTAACCGCTTGCGCCGAAATGACATGTGTTGCGAATCCATCTGGCAAGTTAGACTTGATGGACGTTCTACGAGGTCGTTAAACCTAGGTGTTAACAAGCAGGTTCGTTGTGAAGAGACTACCTGTCTTCCAGGACCACGATCTGCTGCATATTTGGTACAACATTTGAACGATATCACCAGTCCGAAGGACCCTTCGGTATGGATGGAGGCAGATATCATGTCTGCTCTCAGGTATTTACCAGGACATATTCGCAGTCAGAAGTGCAGAAACGAGAACCGATCAACTATCGCCGCGAGATCATTGAACAAAGACTCGAATCAACGCGATGACTCGAGACTCGTGCTCGTAATCATATATGAACTATTCAAGGGATTTTCAATAACCTCTGAACGAACCTAGCCCGATACGGAATTCATCTAAACTTGAGCATCTTGGAGACAGTTAGTAGGGAAATCCGACGTTCCAGTTAGGCATCCACGAAAGACGACGCCGCATATAACAAAAAATTACGATCACAATTATCAGAAATTCTGATTCAGAATATAGACGAACTCAGGAAAACGAGTAAGAGAAGATAATGGGCGAAGCATGATGTTCTACCTGGGCAGAAAGATGGCACAAAAAGATCATTACGGTACCGGCCCAATCCTACCCACCTCTCTGTGTCTCCGCTTGCCATCGCAATATTTTCCCACAGACTCCGGGAACATCCATTTCTGTGATGTTCCCGTATTCCATCGTTCCGATCTGAATCTCGGACTGCGAGGGGTTACAAGTTTTCCAAGTAAACACCCGTACCGAGTGGTATGTGCCGTTAGACCTTAGTGTAATCATAGATGATGATGACGATATCATAGTATCATATCATAGCCCGGACTTTCGGCTCCCCACTAGTGATACGTCTCTGCTATTACTCAAATGAGCAGACAACACTTTAGATTAATTCAGGAATTCGAATCTTCTACTTCTATGAATACAAGTATAATGCTCAAATTAATGGAAACACGCCTTGAATCATGCGGATATCTCGTCGATTCGTTGAGCTTGTTGCGTGGTTTATGGGCTTCAAGTTTGATCGTACTTGGTCATCCATTGTTCGGTGCTAATATGTCCAATCTGACCGGCTGCTGCTGCTGCTGCTGCTCGACCACCATGATCCAAACAATCACTTATACGGCAATCTTGCAATCTCATCTTAATACCAAAAGAGTTCATCATGATGGAAGAGCAAAAATATCAAGACTTACTTCTCGAGCTATTCTCTTCAATATCTTTTCATGCCCTTCATCTTCTTTATCATCATCATGCATTCTATTCTAAACATAGATCACTTATGATGAACCTCCATGCCCTCGTTGGTATTAATCATCACCATCACTCTTATTGTAATTACTACTATTCTTTCCGCCATCACCATGCTATCGCTGTCTCCTTCATATGATATTTTACTCCCCTTTAGACGATACTTTTGATATTCACTATTTAGATGAGCTGTATCTCTTTGCAAGGTGTTTTTATCCGTGGAGTTCATGCTCTCATACTCATCTCCCAAATGTTGAGCCAGGTAGTGTAAGAGGTGTATGAGGCTATTGAACTTCTTACGTAGAGTCTAATGATGAGAACAGGAAGAAACATCATTCAAACTCAAGATGATGATCATGCTTTTTTTACCCAATCAACATCCTTGGTGATCTTCCTACTTTTAATTGCCCATCGATGCGCATCCACAGCAAAATGAGGATGTAAACAACCATGAACCGATGAAGGATCATCAACGTTCTTGGATAGTTTTTCTTTGGTATCATCATCAGCAGCATTATTATAATGATACCCGACAATCTCTGCCATAATGGTTAGGTGCACATGGTTTACCAAAGTCGAATTCGTGATGACAATAATAATAATAATAATAATAATAATAATAATAATAATAATAATAATAATAATAATAATAATAATAATAATAATAATAATAATAATAATAATAATAATAATAATAATAATAATAATAATAATAATAATAATAATAATAATAATAATAATAATAATAATAATAATAATAATAATAATAATAATAATAATAATAATAATAATAATACAACTTACCAGGAGCAGTCTCTTCTGTGTCTATATGATCATGATCATGTTCATCACCTCGGAACTGTTGAGCAAAGAAACTCCACATATGACTCACTCCTTGATGTGAATATCTTGCTAATAATGACTCTTCTCCAGTGGTCGATGAGTGTTGTGAGCAGAGGAGCTTATCAATATCTTCATAAGTAACATAATGATGCATAGAATTCTGAGATACAAGTAGTGCACTAGGACTAAATCATAATCATAATCACAGTGAGTAAAAGAGGATAATAGTGTGAGTATTACTGGTAGTATACATTTCATTATCCTTAAAGCTTCTACGACATGTACTCGTGATGGCCAGCATATGCTCAGGAGTAGATCTCTTCTCTTCCTTGTGAAGTATCGAAGACATACACCACTAAGAGATGAAAAAAACGAGAATGAGTTAGTATGATGATGATAATAATTATTATTATTATAGCAGCAGCGAGAGTTGACAAAATAATAATCAGAACTCGCGGCGGCGCAGTCTGAGTTGTTGAAGTTGTTGAAAGTGTGACACGTATTACATGTCAGCTATGAAATTTCCCTCCACAACGTTTTCTTCGATAACTCTTTTGTATTGTTGAAAAGCATCTAATACTATTACAAGGAATAATGTTATCATAACGAAGTAGCATACCAGCCCAAATATCATAAAATACCTGTAATAACGACATTAACAAGAAGAAGAAGAGTTAAAGGGATATATAATACAGGAATATGAACTCCTCATCGATCGATGCATTCAATGCCTCATCGAATGGCCATACTCCAATCATCATTTGAACCTACTACTACTACTACAACTACTTAGGATCTAGTTCATGATTAGAAGAAAGGTAGTGGTGTTGTTGTTGTTATTATTACTTCTGCACGCAGAGCACTGAATATACTATTGAATGGTGGGAAGGAGGCTCCAATACTCCAATTACCAATTTGGGCAAATAACATCAACACTATGAATAATATTGTTATGAAGTTAATCAAATGAGGGAGAGCAAAATCGAAGGTCTGAAAAAAAGGAAAGAGACATGTCGAACAACAACAACAACAACAACAACAACAAGATCTACTATTATCCGCATTAATTTATAATTAGGTTATTGTGGTACTATCTATTATTATCTGTATTACTTTATAACTAGGCCTTCGTGACGATCGATCCGATTAATGAATTTGACATAGGTCCCCGGTTCGATCCCCAGGTTGGACATTTTTCCGTCATTAAAAATGTTCGTGCATATTTCTTCAAGCTGTTCGCATAATCGATTTTTCCCAAAACCTCCGCATATAGAAGAGTCGTTCGACCTATCTGATATCCTCCCACGTTTCGTAGTTAAGGCAGAATAATTCCACACGCACGCACGCACGCACGCACGCACAATGCGAAAGTGCCTGTTGTTGTGGTATATACTCCGCTCGCTTCGCTCGCTCCGCGATTATTGTAAATTTTTGTATTACCATTTCAAGAAGTGCTATCCTCGGATGAGCATGTATTATCTGTAAGAGCCTCCAACCACATATACCCATACCTATCATTGTACCTACTACTACTATATTCTACTACTACTACTACTACTACTACTACTACTACTACTACTAGTACCATCATCAACATTTCAGCACCAGCAGCACTACTCAGTGACTTACATGTATTGACTATAAAGTAAGCTGTACTCATATTGTACAGCCGCTCTGTTGTATCATAGTATACCTACCATATTAATAATCAGAATAATCATAGTAATAATGACGATCTCAAGTGAATGACGATAGGATGAACTGAAAGAATAAGTGAGATAGCAAGCTATGAGAGATAATACAAATAGAGGATAATTGTTGTAGGGTAGTAGTAGTAGTAGGGATGCACACACTATTACTACAAATAGAAGATAGTTGTTGTAGGGTAGTAGTAGTAGGGATGCACACACTATTACTACAAATAGAGGATAGTTGTTGTAGGGTAGTAGTAGTAGGGATGCACACACTATTACTACAAATAGAAGATAGTTGTTGTAGGGTAGTAGTAGTAGGGATGCACACACTATTACTACAAATAGAAGATAGTTGTTGTAGGGTAGTAGTAGTAGGGATGCACACACTATTACTACAAATAGAGGATAGTTGTTGTAGGGTAGTAGTAGTAGGGATGCACACACTATTACTACAAATAGAGGATAGTTGTTGTAGGGTAGTAGTAGTAGGGATGCACACACTATTACTACAAATAGAGGATAGTTGTTGTAGGGTAGTAGTAGTAGGGATGCACACACTATTACTACAAATAGAGGATAGTTGTTGTAGGGTAGTAGTAGTAGTAGGGATGCACACACTATTACTACAAATAGAGGATAGTTGTTGTAGGGTAGTAGTAGTAGGGATGCACACACTATTACTACAAATAGAGGATAGTTGTTGTAGGGTAGTAGTAGTAGGGATGCACACACTATTACTACAAATAGAGGATAGTTGTTGTAGGGTAGTAGTAGTAGGGATGCACACACTATTACTACAAATAGAAGATAGTTGTTGTAGGGTAGTAGTAGTAGGGATGCACACACTATTACTACAAATAGAAGATAGTTGTTGTAGGGTAGTAGTAGTAGGGATGCACACACTATTACTACAAATAGAGGATAGTTGTTGTAGGGTAGTAGTAGTAGGGATGCACACACTATTACTACAAATAGAGGATAGTTGTTGTAGGGTGGTAGTAGTAGTAGTAGGGATGCACACACTATTACTACAAATAGAGGATAGTTGTTGTAGGGTAGTAGTAGTAGTAGGGATGCACACACTATTACTACAAATAGAGGATAGTTGTTGTAGGGTAGTAGTAGTAGGGATGCACGCACTATTACTACAATAGAGGATAGTTGTGTAGGGTAGTAGTAGTAGGGATGCACACACTATTACTACAAATAGAAGATAGTTGTTGTAGGGTAGTAGTAGTAGGGATGCACACACTATTACTACTAATAGAAGATAGTTGTTGTAGGGTAGTAGTAGTAGGGATGCACACACTATTACTACAAATAGAAGATAGTTGTTGTAGGGTAGTAGTAGTAGTGATGCACACACTATTACTACAAATAGAGGATAGTTGTAGTAGGGGGGTAGTAGTAGTAGTAGGGATGCACACACTATTACTACAAATAGAGGATAGTTGTTGTAGGGTAGTAGTAGTAGTAGGGATGCACACACTATTACTACAAATAGAGGATAGTTGTTGTAGGGTAGTAGTAGTAGGGATGCACGCACTATTACTACAAATAGAGGATAGTTGTTGTAGGGTAGTAGTAGTAGGGATGCACGCACTATTACTACAAATAGAGGATAGTTGTTGTAGGGTAGTAGTAGTAGTAGGGATGCACGCACTATTACTACAAATAGTGTGTGCAAATGTGGTATTAGAGCAGTTAATTGAGTTGAAAGGGAATATGGAAGACGATAATGATAATAGGATAATATGACTTAGTGTAGTAATACTTGAATGAAGTCCTGATAGTACTCCTCTCCTCCTCCTCCTTCTCCTTCGTGGGGTATACCAATGATATTATTATCCTCGTATGTGCTGTTGTTGTTGTTGTTGATATTATTAGTATATAATAAAGAATCCATCACATTATCATATCTTATAACCACCGTATGTAGTATAACTCTCGATACTATAATACACAGGAATACCTGACATACTCATCATCATTAGTATAAGAAGGAGAGTAGAATGATGAGTAATATACTCACCAACGTAAACATAATGGGCCTCCATCTCCTATTCCTGCTATTATTATCATCCTCATTCTTATGGTTCTCTTCTATCTAAGGAAAAGACAGTTGATATTAGGTCTACCATTAGAAGAAGAAGAGGACAGTTGATATTAGGTCTACCATTAGAAGAAGAAGAAGACAGTTGATATTAGGTCTACCATTAGAAGAAGAAGAAGACAGTTGATATTAGGTCTACCATTAGAAGAAGAAGAGGACAGTTGATATTAGGTCTACCATTAGAAGAAGAAGAAGACAGTTGATATTAGGTCTACCATTAGAAGAAGAAGAAGACAGTTGATATTAGGTCTACCATTAGAAGAAGAAGACAGTTGATATTAGGTCTACCATTAGAAGAAGGAGAAGACAGTTGATATTAGGTCTACCATTAGAAGAAGAAGAAGACAGTTGATATTAGGTCTACCATTAGAAGAAGGAGAAGACAGTTGATATTAGGTCTACCATTAGAAGAAGAAGAAGAAGACAGTTGATATTAGGTCTACCATTAGAAGAAGAAGAAGAAGACAGTTGATATTACCGAGGTAAGGTAATGATGATGATGGTACAATGATGATGATGATGATGATGATGCCCAACGTATATCAAGTAGTAGTGTAATGATACCTAGTATTATCTGAGAAGTAATACTACTAGTAGTAGTAGTAGCAGCAGCAGCATACTCGTGAGTATATAGTTATTATAGTAATTCTTATTACACATGTTGATATTAATACAATAAATGATGATGATGATGTAGATGACTGTTGGTTGTTGTTGTTGTTGATAGTATATAGGATATTCCACATACTAGTAATATGAGTCTTGATCGATATAGAACCGTCTATTGGATTAACATTACCATTTGTTTCTATCTGAATAATAATAACATAATGATTATTATTGTGTTATTGTCCATAATGATGATAATGAATGTTAATACAAATGTAAGTATATGAGTTCCTGGATGATATAAGGACATCCTTATCTTAAACATAGCAGTATCATAACCAATCCAATCTTTGCTTATTACATCTATACATTAATAATAATAACAACGACATATCATGATGATATTAGTATTACTATTAAAATGCTGTTTAGTGATTATTGGTGTAGCCAACCATGGTATATTATCCGATGATCCTAATATAATACCCCAATTATGTATGCTATTATTAGTATTCTTAAATGGTCGAATACACTCTGGACTTAATGATAATGCTGCTAATGATGATGATGATGGTAGTAAGCATGCCTAATAAGGAATTGTTCATAGTAGTATCATCATCATCACCACCGTAGTAGCAGTAGTAGTAGGGAGTGTATTACCTGTAAACAGCCATTAGCAGTAATGATATGTGTATTACTAGATGTAATAGTATGATTATAAGCAGGACATGATGATGATACATTGTTGAGTATAGTAATATCATCAATATAGGAATATGATGGACAATTAGATGTTTCTTGTGAATACGACGACGATGACCACAAGAAGGATGATGATGATGATGAGGAAGTTGTGGAGTATTGTGATCCATCATAATAATAATAATAACTGAATTCTTCTGATGATGTTGATGACTGCATGCGGTATACAGCTTTATGTAGATGTCTGAGAATAGTAAGTTCATTATGATGATAAGGAGTAGTATTAATAGTAGTAGTAGTAGTAGTAGTAGTAGTAGTAGTAGTAGTAGTAGTAGTAGTAGTAGTAGTAAGACCACCCACCCACCTACCACCACCATTACCTTATTAGTAGTAACTCGTGTTTAGTATTGAACGACATCTCATGTCGTAGTCCTCCATCATTACTTATCATACTACTACCATCCTGTATATTGTTATTATTATGACATGTATCAAGTTTACGACGATTAATCATGAATAATGGCCACATTAATAAGACAGGATTACTATTCGTATTGGTTTCATCATTATACCGTACCTTTATCATCCATATCATCATCATTTAAGTGATATTAGATATTATTATTACAATCGGATTAAATACATCAGATTCAATATAAGGTAGATATATATTACTAATCCAATAATTAACATCATCTGGATTACCTAATATACCATCAACAAGAAGAAGAAGAAGTTACTCTATGGTATTGTTATTATTGTGTTGTTGTCTACCTCCAATATCATTTGTAAGATGTATGGTCTGAATATTAACAATATTAAGTTATACGCTGCTGCTGCTGTATTACCTCAATCAAATCCTTCATATGTAGCATTTCCGATGATATTGTTGTAGATTCGATTGATAGAGTAATAATACCAAATACAATAGTAACTTAAGAAGACACTGCAGTGGCACACTGATGTTGATGATGTTAGTAATAATAATAATAGTAATAGTACAGTAATGGTGTTATTATTATTACTAGTGAATAATATCTCCCTCTTTATTGAAGTTATCATACTCGATTCCAATATTATCCTATCTAGGAAGTTCTGAAGATGCAGTGGAGGTAGTAGTGATAGCTGCTGTTTCTGTTGCTGTTGTTGTTCTTGTTGTTGTTCATAAATCATCGTATCAAAGTATTAATATCCTGCCATTATTACTTTCATACTGATAACATAATATAATAAGTCTAGAAACATTATAACTACATGATCATCATTATAATACAATAGTTCATCGTTCTTCTTCTTCTTCTTGTTATTGTTATTGTTGTAGTATATATTCCATGATAGACATAGTAAGTGCCGTATTTGGTGCAAAGAATAATACACGTAAAATAGATCCACGAAACATGCCACGAATACCTTCTGTTTTATACAATGTTATAAGACCATTAATGAATGATGTATAGTAGAATGATGATGATGATGATCGTTGTTGGACCTATAATGATAATAATAATATTTCATCTATCATAATATGTATAGCATGAATATTCTTATTACTTGTAATCTTAATTTAACCAAATCTAATGGTGTAGTTATAAAGGCTGCTGATGCTCCTGCTGCACTACATGATAAAACATGACCATAGAATGGCAACGTAGTAATAGGAATAGTAGTAGTAGTAGTATTATTATTGGTAGTAGTAGTAGTAGTCTGATAATACGATAATAGGCATGATTTGTATCTACACTTATCATCATACTAGATTGATGATGATGATGCTGGTGATATTATTATTACCTCTGAGCAAATGCAAAGTAAAGAGCTGAGAAAGGGCCAAAACTATATAATGTAGCCCAGTAACCTTTATATAACTGCGATATACTCTTACTACGTAAGGCATCTATCGATCCTAATAATAATAATCACCATCATAATAATCTATCATTATCCTATTATTACCCTTATATTTAGTTAAAGCAAGTTCCTTTTGAGTTTGTAATTGTTCTTTACATACATCAATAGGTACCCATATACAACAACTAACAGCCTCTGCTATGAAACCAGATGTTAGATCAATAATAATGTTAGTAATAACCACTTTATTATTATTATCAATAACATCACCATTTGATGATAATGATGATGATTGGTGTTGTTGTTGTTGTAGGGCATAATTTCTTATTGTATGATAAGTAGTAAAGTACCTTCTTATTTAGTTATTATACAATAATAATACAAAGCAGCAGCCTTATTATTATTACAATGCTCCAGCAGGTACACCCCCTAATGCAGCTACACCAATACCTTTATATAATTCCTTTATATTATTTCTTATTATTACCATCATTCTCATATTACTACCATTAATCCCTGTATTAACCTGATAATAATAATATTAATATAACTCCATACTGTTATTGTTGTATATACTTGTATTTTAGATTTAATAGTATCCAAAGGATGTAGTATACATCTTGATATTAATGATGCTATTGATGATGCTGTAGTAATATCTAATATATTATCGACATCTAACACCATTAGCAACAATAACAACAAATAAATGATAATGATGATGATGGGCCTGTTTCATAGGAGCAAATTGCGCCTTAAACTCAAGTAACGCCTAAAGTATACCGTAAATAATTAGGACATTCTATTTCACTACTTTAGTAAGCGCACGCTAAGGCGCCTTAAGTTTAGGAATACTAAAGGCGCCTTAAGTTTAGGAATACTAAAGGCGTCTTAAGTTTAGGAATACTAAAGGCGCCTTAAGTTTAGGAATACTAAAGGCGCCTTAAGTTTAGGAATACTAAAGGCGCCTTAAGTTTAGGAATACTAAAGGCGCCTTAAGTTTAGGAATACTAAAGGCGCCTTAAGTTTCTGTGCATATACTAAAAGAGCAACTTAAGTATTCCTTAAATTTTATTAAGGTAGAGCCGACCCTACGTAAACAGATACTTAAGTATCGTGTTTAATATTGCACCCCACAGAGGTTGAACCAGGGACCCTTCGAAAGACGATGCTTAAATATTGTATCTCGTAGGGGTCGAACCGGAAACCTTACGAATAGCAGCACGGTACTCTCCCACTTGTCCAGAGAGACGAAGAAATCGAGCCAAGAGTTCATTTCCTTAACGCAGCAAAAGTCGAACCGAACTTCACAATATGGTCACCTTTAAGAATCAGCCACTGCAAAACGTCGAGGAGGCAATGTTTGCTGATTGTGAACACAAGACGAGGATCTGGGTGAATCACAGTCATCTCGAATGACTCTGATCGACCCAGATGCTCCCGTGGATGGTGTCGGGAACGCTCTTCGTAAGAGCTACGTTCGCAGATAGTTGCAGTGACTTGGAGATATTTCAGTGATTTGCGTCATCGTTGAGTTCACATGAGTATATTTTCTACTTAGCGGACCGTTGAGTGACTTATTCTAGCTAACATTGTAATTTCTAGCTAACATTGTAATTCGTGGGAAATCCCCTTGCAGCTCGTTATCAATGGTAACTTACCATTGATACCTTACCCATGATCGAGGAAAGAAGTTGCGAAACAGTAAACAACCATAGAAACAGCATTCCTCTGATTTGTACCTGCGCCTATCGACGATAGGCTATCGTATGGTAAACGGACAACCTAACCACTGGAGCATTTACACCACAAAACTAAACATGTAATCCTATTCTATACCTGTAACCATGGTCAAGTAGATACTTAAGTACGCCTTAAGTTAAGGAGCTCTTTAAGTTGCTCCTAAACGTTGTGAAATGAGTTGAGTAAGTATACCTTGATTAGCTCCTTAAGTTGCTCCTGTGAAACAGGCCCACTAACTTGCGTTCTTTATATTTCTAACAATTCCTCAGCAATATACTCACTTGTTGTTTGCTTGTGTGGGGATGAAATGAGCAGTAGCGTTAAGTAGTAGTATAACAACAACAGCCTAGTTCTACATGATGATTCTAGTCAGGAGTTTTCCCCTTATTATTCCTCGTTTTCCTTGATGAGTGATCATCATAATACTATGAATGAATGTTATCGTAATGCTGGTAAAAGGTTCATCAACTTTGTCAACGAAACTGGATCTCCTTATCATTCAGTACTAGCTAGTAAAAGGTTATTACTCAATAAAGGCTTTATACCATTATCAGAGAAGGCAACATTATGGTCATCATCTACTACTACTAATAACCAGAAGAATACTAATTTACAACCTGGTGGTAAATATTTCATTACTCGTAATCATTCTGAGATATTTGCTTTTGTTATTGGCAATAAATTCAAAGTATCTGATGATGATAATAGTAATAGTCGTATGATAATGATTGGTGCTCATACTGATTCACCATGTTTAAGATTAAGACCAAGATCATGTATTAAACCTAAAGATGGTATTATACAATTAGGCGTTACTACATATGGTGGTGGTTTATGGCATACTTGGTTTGATAGAGGTTTAGGTATGGCTGGTAAGGTTATTATCAATAATAATAATACTATTGAAGAAAGGCTTATTAGAGTAAATAGACCAATAGCTATTATACCCAATCTAGCTATACATTTACAGACATCTGAAGAAAGGAATGCTGGATTTAAGGTAAGTATCAGTAGTAATGTGGTGGTCTATTAATACTATTATCATCATGATTCTATTAGATTAATCCTGAGGAGCATTTAATGCCGGTATTCTGTTCATCAAAATATTACAAGTCCGCCGACCCCGAGCATGATATCATCAATGATGATGTAAATGGTAATCATAGAGCACTGATGGAGCTCTTAGCTAAAGAAGCCAAGTAATAAGTATTATTAATAATGATAGTAATCCTGTATTATTGTAGGTGTTCGATTGAAGATATTATTGATTTTGATATCTGTCTTATGGATGCAACACCATCATCCATTATTGGGGTATATGATGAGTTTATTAGTTCACCAAGAATTGATAATTTATTATCAACTTGGGCTTGTATGGATGCTTTATCATCTCATTCAGATCACCTTATTAATGGTAATACTAGCATAATCATCATAATCAGCATTATCCCTACTTGTTGCTAGGTAATGATATATACATTGCTGCTGCATTTGATCATGAAGAATGTGGATCTACTTCCTATACTGGTGCTAACTCAATGACACTACATACTTGGATGAAGCGTATATTATCATCATTAAATATATCCGATAATTATCTTCCATCTATCATTGCTAGGTAATAATAGTAATATCATGATTATATTCATTATTATTATATTAGGTCTATATTGGTATCAGCTGATGGTGCTCATGGTATACATCCTAATTATTCAAGTAAACATCAATCTGAACATAAAGTATATCTACATGATGGTATTGTTATTAAAAATAATGCTAATCAAAGATATGCTACTACACCTCTCACTGCATCAATGATAAGGACATTATGCAGTAAAGATGGTGGTCATAATAATAATAGTACTATCCCAATACAGGACTTTGTAGTACGTAACGATTCCCCATGTGGATCTACTATTGGACCAATGATGAGTGCTAATCTTGGTATTAGAACTATTGATTTAGGTGCACCACAATGGGCTATGCATTCATGCAGGTAATAATAATAATAAATTAGTACTAACAATATTGTTATATATTTTAGGGAGACGTGTAGTGTTGATGATGCTGGATATCTTGTGGAGTTATGTGGAGCTATTTATGATAATTGGGCAGATATTGATGATAGTCTAGTTGAGGTGGTTGAATAGAAAAGAAAAGATGATTCATTATTCTATTTCGTCGACATACTTTTGTTGAATTTATCAATATTGTAACTAATAATAACCCAAGATATAATGAAATATTCGGAAAATGATAATTCGTTGTTATTAAAGCCTTGAGATATACTATCGGTAATAATAATATTACCAATGAAGAAAAGGATCTTGTTCAGGCTGTATTACTGGTGGTAAACCATCAGTTGAATCGGGATAATTATCGAAATTAGATGTATCAGTATCACATTTGACTTTAGGTTTATATGGCGCTGGTATCTTCTTATTATAAAGATCATACCATGATAAACCTAAATAATAATAATGTTAAATATTGTGTTATTATTATTATTAATACCAATAAACCAATCACATCCTTTAATATCATCAACTCCATTCCTTAATTCACCATATCTCTTAGCTGAATATATTGATGATAAGCGAGTAAAGTGAAGATTATGATTATTATTACTTAGATCAGCCGTAAGGAGCCTCTTTACTAGACTTTTAGCATCTTTATCAAAGTAACGAGGGAATACTATCTTACCCGACAATATCTTCTGATATATACCTAATCAATATCATATTCTATAATATTAACCTTATTATTAATACCCATAGGATCCTCATCAACAAATGGTGGATAACCAACTATCATCTCATATGTTAATATACCCAGTGTCCACCAGTCTAC